TTTATTATTATTGGAATAATTTAAAGAAATAGTGGGTTTCCAAGTCAACATGTCGTACAAGCCACGTGTCTCGTGTTCTCTCGCACCATTCTTGTCGCCGACAAGTCGACTTTTTGTGTTTTGACTATTTTGCCCCCACTCTTGAATTGCATAGTACGAAAAGCAAGACTTTTTATAGTGCTTTTTATAAGTACCCTCTCTTATTTACTTCCAAAAAACAATATTTCTCTCTCTCTTCATATACATATAACTTATCAAATGTTTGGCTTTCTATAAATTGTCGTATATGACCTATTAGTAAATTTCACAAAATTTAAGTTGTATATTAAGTTAAAGGGTCTTCTTTTTATTTTGCTATCAAACTAAATAAAACTATACAATTTTTTGTGTTTGGTAATAAAATTTAATATTTTCCGACCCATGATTTATACATAAGATGCTAGATTTGAAATTCGAGTTCTAACATCACATGTTTCGATGAATACCTTTACACATATAAAATCTGCACTGATGTGGTGCCAAGTCCAACCTAATTGATGCTTAAGTCAGTCAAAAAGTTAATTTAGTTGAAAGTAGCACTTCAATCTCTCTTGGCCTGATCGAGTGATATAGCTCAAGCAGTCGACTCACATTGTTTCACATGACGTCAATCAAGTGCGTCATTTTTAATCTTTTGAAATTAGCAAAGTATTTGATACATATGATGAGAAAGGGTATCGAAACACCTTTCATGATCTTGGCCAGGGTAAGGAAAAATCTTTTAGACTTATACGCAGTCACCTATTAGCCACGGGGAGTATTTTTATCATCGTAAATGTCATACCAATAACTTTTTGATTAGTTTAATCATACAAAAATCTGGATCACTCATATGGCATAATAAATTAATCTAAGTATCCAGCTTTTTGTGGTTATTATAGGTCACAAAGTTTGATTTAAGCATTTTAAAATGATTTGATGAACTAAAATAAAAGCATGTGGGAATATAAGAAAGGGAGGGTGATGGATTCAATGTATATGGTCTACAAAATCAAATTCAACTAGCCCTTCCTCCATTTGTCTTGGGATGGCCACAATTCCAATTTTGCCCTCTTCCAAAAAAAGAACTTTTTAGAATGAAAAAGAAAAGGTAGTATGATGAAGAAAAAAAGGAACAAAAAGATATGCCACTTTAGAAAGGGGCCAAACAAAAAGATTGACCAAACTTAGATACCAAATGTAACCAAGAAGGTAGGTCCACTAATAGTTTGTGTTTCCACCCGCCTCTTAAGAACGAGTGATGAAATCATTAATCTGAACATAACTTAACTAGTTAAAAAAAGAAATTCTAATTTTTAAATCAATATTTGAATTATAAAAATATATAAAAAAAAATAGCTACGTTATGTGTTGGTGTCTGTCCTTTCAACAATTTCAATACAACACTACACTCAATATATTTCTTAAAATGTAACAATTATTTTATACTAAAGGATTTTCGTTAGTTGCAAAATTTTCATTATATGCCAACTACCATTGAGCTAAGTTTGCTTATCTAATAGGTATTTAAACCATTAATTTTGTGTCTAATAAATTACTGCTTTTTATGACATTTTTTTAAGTTAGAGGATTTATTAGACATAACATCAAACACTTATGGACTTATTATACACGTTTTTAAATTTAAAGATTAAAGATACCGCCTTCACATTAAAGTCAATTCACCAAATTTATAATTTGCCTTTTTATTTTAGGACCAAATTCAAACGGTGCGTTTGTCTAATCTTGCTTTATTTGTCCTAGAGGAAAATAAGACAATTTTGGAGGTAATTATTTCCCATCAAATACTAAATAGGGGGTGCCAGACAAAATCCCTATTAATTGATAAATCTCTCTGAAATCATTAGATGGGGTTGAAAATATTGTCACTTTAGAGAAAATGTTTAGTGGACTAAAATTTGTTCACAATCCAAATTCTTTGAAAAGAGAATCTGTTTTATTGGCTAAGTATCGTTGTCCTTTGAGATAGTTATTATCCAGTTCTCTTATGTAACTTTAGTGGTCCGTTTCTTTTTAATGTGATAAAAAAAAATTTGAAACGTTCCCAATTTTAGCAAAAATTTACGAAAATGGAAAGTGGGCGTAATTAGTGCATCAATCATGCACGATTGACCATTCATATTATTTTGTTTATCCAAGTTGACTTAAAATAATGATTGTGGGGTTGCATGCGTATCATATATTATTAAAAATAACATTATTATTTCGATCCTTTATATCCATTATCTAAATACCCCACTTCATTTAAAATACAATTTAGTAAGTCAATCATTTTGTTAATTGTACATATTAAAGAAAAAAAAACAATCATTAAAAAATATATATATATATAGTTCTAAACTCACAGCCCATGCTCTAACATTTTATAGTATAAAATCAAGAAATTTCGTCTTATCAGAACACATCATTTTAAATTGTTAATGTCACACTCCAATTAGAAATTGAAATTCTAAACTCTATTCAAAGTCTTAGAAGAAGAAAAAAAGGTTTCCAATTTTGTTTCGTTTTCTCTATTAAATTTAGAATTTGGGAATTCTCATAGCTTTTCATTTTCATGCTAATTGGAATAAATGCATATGCTGAAATGTGGGAATTCCAACATCCTTGGACTGGAAGCTGCTGTTACAGCATCTTTATAAGCATATCCATTCTTAGAGAGAGACGTTTTGAAATGTGAAAATAAAAATTATTAAGAAACTTATGAACAATAAATTTTGTATTAAAACATATATGTCGAAATGTTTAATCCATTAAATTCTCGTGTAGAGATCTTCTAGTCGAATCTGACTCCCTCACGTCAATCCAATTTTTTCGGTGGCCATCTGGATAAGCTAAATTAGATATTTGATATTGAACAACTTGTCGTTCTGTTCTCTACAATTAAATTTCATCGTACCCCGTCTCTGCAACAAATAAGCAGATGTTTTGGCACAATATGCCATTGAACAACCAAATGGTGACACCCTTCGTTCTATAGTCCAAGACAAATAAAGAAAAAGACTTTTGGTCCCCATATTTTAATTGAAGTAACAATTCAGTGTGTGGTCTTTAGTTTATAACATTTTTGTTTCTATATTTTCAAATTTATATCTGAATTTTAATAATTAACAATTAAATATTTATAATTTTCTTTAGGATAAAGCTGAACTTTATAAAAACTAATCAAATAGTTACAAATTTTAAATTATAGGAGAAAGTACCATAATCAAATCATTATACACTGAATTTGGAAACTAAATCACTAATATAGGACCAAAAATGTTTTTTTTTTTAACTTAAATCTAATTTTTATCTTTAAATTTTAGTTACAACATTTAAATTTTTTATCATAATCCTAAAATTTGAACCATTTTAGTTATTATTCTCGTTATTTTACTGTTAATTTTTGTCTTGCCTAATCCTCACTTCAATACAACATTTAATACAGATATTTGAAACCATGTCATCTTCGTTCAAAAAAGATAATAAAAACCATGTTATCTATTATACAAGACAATTGGTGGCAAAATAAAGGCCATAATTATAAATTTTTTTATTTTAATGGCCAAAATAAAATAAGAGTCCAAATAAAAAATGAGATTCAAATATTTAAAAAATTTTGAGTTTCCAATTTCATCTCCATGACTTTTTTTCAGTACAACCATTACTAGATGTTACTAGTGTTCTTTTTTTTTTTTAATGTGAAACATTTTACTTAATAGAAAATTGTGATGAGTTGGTGTTCAACATGAGGCAAGTAATAGTCAAGGTCAAATTGTTGGAGTTAATTCTCAATTTGATCCTTAATCTTTTAAAATTCTCAATTTTACCTTTAATGTATTAAAATTTCTCAATTAGGTCTTAAAATTTGTTAAATGTATTAAATTATTATTATAATTATATAGTTACAACATAAATATGCCGCTCGGTTGGAAGAAATGATTTTATTGATTAGTAGGTAAGATTTTGCTAATAACTAAGTTGAATTTTATGTGTCACGTAGCATTCAAATAACATGTTCACGTATTCAAACATGTTAATACAATAATAATTTAATGATATATTAATCTCTTGTTAAGAAATTTTTCATGGAGAAACTTAATTGAGTATTTCAACTTATATGGTAAAGGTAAAATTAAGAATTTGAAAAGATTAAAGACCAAATTAAAAATTACCTCAAGAATTAAGAACTATCTTATATATTTAGCCTATATATAAATATATATGTATAAAAAAATCATGTAAATTAAGATACTTTTTTTTAATTTAACCATTATGGGGCGAGTACTATAACCTTACACCTGAAAGGTAATTACTGTATTTATTCATTAGGTTAGTAATAACAATCCATAGTCACATTTTTTACACAAATAGTTTCATCTCCAATGGAAGAAAATTATGATTCTGTACATTTTACACAATTAAAACATCATATGCCGTCAATATAGAACATCAACTCATCACATCTCTTTATTATCGGTAGAAAGAACGTGTCACGGAAGAAAACTACAACATAACTTCTAAAAGACAAAAAACCAATTTAAAATCAAACTCAAATCATGATAAAAATAAAAAAAAAAAAATAATTTAACAGTTTGAATCTTATTACTGACATCCACAAAATTTTATAATTAGGAGTTATTATGAAATTACGTTCTATTTTGAATCTTATTAGTTTAGCGGGGATCCATGAGTTAAAATTAAGAGATAAAGATAAAAAGAATCTTAGTAATTTTTGGTCGAATATAGGTCAACGGTGATTAATATGTACTCCTTTCGTCTAAATCGGAGGTTCTAGGTCTTGCTAAATTATTGTAGTAAAAAAAAAGGTAATTTTTTAAGTAAAAAAAGGAAGGCATACGTAGCCTTTAATAATTTTAACTTTTAAATAGAAAACCAAACAAAAACTTTCAAAAACAATTTTAAAAGTGGAAAAAAAAAATTCAGAAGTGATTTTGCAGACGACACTCGAGAAAGAGACAAAAACAAGAGAGAGAGCCAAAGTCGTTGATAGGGAGTTGGGCGATCGTTCTTCCCTTTCGTTTTTTTCGGTTTTTTTTTTCCCTTCTCTTATTTGATTATCATATTAGGAATAGGAATCGAGTGTTTATTAGGAATCGGAAATCGAGTGTGAGGCTCATAGCTCTATATAAAGCTCTCGAAGCTCTGGAATTTGGATCTCAGAATCCCACCCATTGCCTCTCTCCCTTCTCAATTGCCTGTATTCTTCGGGTACGATTATCTCCACATGTATGACTTTACCATTATCCATTTGGGTGTTGTTTACAAATCTATTTTTGGCGAAATTTGGGCTGGGTTTCTTTGTATTTGTTCATATCTCGAACTGCGTTCTGGGTTTCTGGATCGTCGTTCAAATTGATGAATTTTTGGGTTTTTGCCCCCTTTCCCCTGTTTCTAGATTTAATTTGGGGTTTCTGATTTTCTGATTTTGGTGGGTTCCTAACGGTTTTTGCTTTGGGTGGTGATTTCAGAGGAAAACTTGGTGTGGAATATGGCTAATCGGAATCTGGAGAAGATGGCATCTATCGATGCGCAGCTTCGGCTTTTAGTCCCAGGCAGAGTGAGTGAGGATGATAAATTGGTGGAGTACGACGCGTTGTTACTGGATCGATTCCTTGACATTCTCCAGGATTTACATGGGGAGGATCTTAAGGAAACTGTAAGTTATAAGAACTGGAATTTTACTTTGAATATTTTGCTTCGTTTCACTCTCTCTCTCTGAATCTAGTGGGAAGTAGTAACCTTTTGGTGTCAATAATAAAGCTAAAGAAGAGGAATTGATTTCTTTATTATCATAATAAGTGATGATCATAACCGAACACTTGATGTCATTTGGTAGATGTAAGATTGGTCGAACATCCTTGAAGTTTAATGACTCCCAATGCCATTATTCCCTTTTGTTTTCATTATTGGTGTGTGGATAGCATATAAAATTAATGTGTTAACCAATTAGCGATTCTTTCTTTCTGCTTGACATTGACCAAGTGTGTGAATCAAGCACATCATGAAAAGAAATAAAAAAAATGAAAAGGAAGCTTATGGTTCTAACTGCTTCCATAGAGCCAATAGCTGCTGGTGACTGTTTGGCTTTATTTGTTTTGGATGATAGGTGCAAGAATGTTATGAAGTTTCCGCTGAATATGAGGGGAAGCGCGATCCAAAGAAACTTGAGGAGCTGGGAAGTGTGCTGACTAGTTTAGATCCAGGGGACTCTATTGTCATTGCAAAATCTTTCTCCCATATGCTTAACTTGGCTAACTTGGCCGAGGAGGTTCAGATTGCCTATCGTCGGAGAATCAAACTGAAGAAGGGAGATTTTGCTGATGAGAACTCTGCGACCACTGAATCGGATATTGAGGAAACTCTGAAGAAGCTTGTTGGCGAACTGAAGAAGTCTCCTCAAGAAGTTTTTGATGCCTTGAAGAACCAGACTGTTGATTTGGTCTTAACTGCTCATCCTACTCAATCAGTTCGTAGATCATTGCTTCAGAAGCATGCAAGGTTGACTTATGAGTTACTCTGGATTGTTTATTTATTTATTTTTATATTTTATCTTTAAATATCTTATTTTTCAACTTATATAACCCGGCAGTCAGTTTCAGCTAATTGGGAGAAGCCAACTAATTTGTTCTTTTGCTCCATTTAATACTTGGATGCAGGATAAGGGATTGTTTAGTCCAATTGTACGCCAAAGACATTACTCCTGACGACAAGCAAGAGCTTGATGAGGCACTTCAGAGAGAGGTGAAATTTACCATTCCTATTACCGTCCTCTGCTTTTTTTCCTTTTCTTTCTCTAACCCAAATCCAAACTTTTCAAATGTCTGTGAATCCGCAAACTGCTATTTTTGTTTTCTTGTAGTTTTGGTGCAAAACTATATTATAGTATCTGGTGGTGTTGAAAGTGAAACTGCATTGAGATGGATTGGCATGCTCGATAAATCTGTTAATATTATGTTTTTTTTTTCGGACTTTTTCAAACACTTGTCACTTGTGAATACGAAGGATAAATCACGTTGAAATATTCATATCTGGAAATAATACTTGATAGATATGTGTTTACCCTTGTGACTTGGTAATCAATTGAACAAGATAGGTTGGCTTAGATTGTGAACATTATAGAGCCGTCATTGGCTGTTTTACTTTCTTTTTGTAGATTCAAGCTGCATTTCGTACGGATGAAATTCGTAGAACTCCTCCTACACCACAAGATGAAATGAGGGCAGGAATGAGCTACTTCCATGAGACAATTTGGAAGGGTGTTCCTAAATTTCTGCGCCGTGTTGATACAGCTTTGAAAAACATAGGGATCAATGAACGCGTTCCTTATAATGCACCACTAATTCAGTTTTCTTCTTGGATGGGTGGTGACCGTGATGGTAAAATCTTTTTCTTTCTCCATACTTAATGTAATTGCAAAACATTAAATTCCATTAGGTTATGGGAATGGCAAAAATATATCCTCTCCGAACTGATGATACCTCAGGAATTTGTTGCTGCCTTCTTAATCTTTAGCTTTTGCTCTGATTGGTCTACAGGTAATCCTAGAGTGACACCCGAGGTCACAAGGGATGTCTGTCTTCTTGCTAGAATGATGGCTGCTAATCTGTACTACTCGCAGATTGAGGATCTCATGTTTGAGGTATTTACACCTTCTGTTATATGGAAAATTTGGCAAATCTTTCCCACTTGGTTAATATACAATGTTTTCCATTTGGTTGATTACTGCCGATTATTTAAGGGACTATACTCATAATATTTTTCTGCAGTTGTCTATGTGGCGTTGCAGTAGTGAGCTTCGTGAGCGTGCAGACCTGCTCCATAATTCATCAAGGAGAGATGCAAAACACTATATAGGTGATCAATTATTATTAATGTTTTACAGTAGAAAAAACTAAGTTTACGAATGCGTTTAGTTTAGCTGCCAAATTTATCGCATAGTGAATATTGTTTTTTAATTTTGTTTGTATAGAATTTTGGAAGCAAGTTCCTGCCAGTGAACCATATCGAGTGATTCTTGGTGATGTAAGGGACAAGCTTTATCAAACACGTGAACGTTCTCGCCATTTGTTAGCAAATGGATATTCCGACATCCCAGAGGATGCAACTTTTACAAATGTTGAGCAGGTTTGCTCTTCTTGGAACTTCAAAACGTCTTTCTTTCTTTTTGTTTTTAGCACAACCATCATTTCATCAAACACAGTTATATAAAAAGGGAATAGAGTTATTTGATATTATTTCCCACTTAACAGTTAAGGCATATTACAGAGAAGTAACTTCTACAATTGGCTTGAATAAAAAAAGGATGATAATTACAAAACGAAACCTTTTTTTTGTGAGAAATTTAACCTTGAGACTAGCCAGATCACAAAGACATGAACATCTATCCTACAAACTCATTTCCACAGCAATATTTATTCTTTGGAGGACGTATTTTTATCACTTTAGCATTAGCTTATTTTTATGGAAGTCTTTGAACAAGGAAATGAATGTGGGGGACAATGAAGAAAAGATATATTTTGTTGGAAAAGTCTGACTTGCTTTGTTAATGGAAAACTAGATAGTTCTTGTTGCTATTTAGTTATTACGCTAAATTATACTTCTTGTTTTAGCTTTCAGTTAGACAGAAACAGTCTTTGAATTGATTATTTTTCCAACTTTTTGCAGTTCTTGGAACCTCTTGAACTATGCTATAGATCCCTCTGCACTTGTGGCGACCGTGCAATTGCTGACGGCACCCTGCTTGATTTCTTGAGGCAAGTGTCCACTTTTGGCCTGTCCCTTGTAAGACTTGACATCAGGCAAGAGTCAGATCGTCACACTGATGTCTTGGATGCCATTACGAAGCATTTGGATCTTGGTTCCTACAAAGAATGGTCTGAAGAACAGCGGCAAGAATGGCTTTTATCCGAACTGAGTGGCAAACGCCCTCTTTTTGGTCCTGATCTTCCTACAACTGAAGAAATATCTGACGTTTTGAACACATTCCATGTCATAGCTGAACTTCCTGCCGATAACTTCGGTGCATATATCATCTCCATGGCCACTGCTCCATCTGATGTTCTGGCAGTTGAGCTCTTGCAACGTGAGTGCCATGTTAAGCAACCACTAAGAGTTGTTCCACTGTTTGAGAAGCTTGCAGATTTGGAGGCTGCACCGGCAGCTCTTGCTCGCCTCTTCTCAGTTGATTGGTACAGAGATCGGATTAGCGGAAAGCAAGAAGTCATGATTGGCTACTCGGATTCTGGTAAAGATGCAGGGCGGTTCTCTGCAGCCTGGCAATTGTACAAGGCTCAAGAGGAGCTTATAAAGGTTGCCAAGCAATATGGTGTGAAGCTAACTATGTTTCATGGTCGTGGTGGCACTGTTGGAAGAGGAGGTGGCCCAACCCATCTTGCTATTTTGTCCCAGCCACCCGATACAGTTCACGGTTCGCTCCGTGTGACGGTACAGGGTGAAGTTATTGAGCAGTCCTTTGGAGAGGAGCACTTGTGCTTTAGAACACTCCAGCGTTTCACTGCAGCAACACTTGAGCATGGAATGCACCCTCCAGTTTCACCAAAACCTGAATGGCGTGCACTTATGGATGAAATGGCTGTCGTTGCTACACAAGAATATCGTTCCATTGTCTTCAAAGAACCACGATTTGTCGAATATTTCCGCCTTGTAGGATTTCTTCTGCTGACTCTCATAATTTTGTTATCGAAATCTGAACCGACTGTGAGCTAATTTTATCTAAATATCTTGTACTTTATGATTATAATAGGCAACACCAGAGCTGGAGTATGGTAGGATGAACATTGGAAGCCGCCCATCAAAACGTAAGCCAAGTGGCGGAATCGAGTCACTTCGTGCCATACCGTGGATCTTTGCATGGACGCAGACGAGGTTTCATCTACCGGTTTGGTTGGGCTTCGGAGCTGCATTCAAGCATATCATTCAGAAAGACGTTAGGAACCTCCATGTGTTGCAGGAGATGTACAATGCATGGCCCTTCTTTAGGGTCACCATTGATTTGGTTGAAATGGTGTTCGCCAAAGGAGACCCCGGAATTGCTGCTTTGTACGACAAGCTCCTAGTTTCAAAGGACCTCTGGTCTTTCGGAGAGCGCTTGAGAACCAACTTTGAAGAAACAAAGAGCCTTCTTCTCAAGGTAAAATTTGGCCGAATGAATAAAGTTTTCATGTCTATACCACATACGATCTTCATTCAATCTAACTTCTAAAATGTGTTTTGTAGATTGCTGGACACAGCGACCTTCTTGAAGGCGATCCTTACTTGAAGCAAAGACTCCGTCTCCGTAACTCGTACATCACGACTCTGAATGTGTGCCAAGCATACACATTGAAACGAATCCGTGACCCGAACTACCATGTGACAGTGCGTCCACACATTTCAAAGGAGATAATGGAAGCAAGCAAACCAGCAGACGAACTTGTTCAACTAAACCCGAAGAGCGAGTACGCACCCGGGTTAGAGGACACCCTGATCTTGACCATGAAGGGTATTGCTGCTGGAATGCAGAACACTGGTTAATGCAGAACACTGCCCCTTTTGATGTTTATTTTTTTGCTGGTTTCTCCCAATATATAAATTTGCCATCCAAGACAAAAGGATCTGCATCAGAAGTGGATGTTGTTTAAGTTAATCCAGCTTTTGGTGAGAAGAGACCTGAGTGAATTGTTACTGCTTTATTGTTGTATGATCTGTGCCCCAAATACTAAGAGTGGCCAGTGGATTATGTCATTTCAACTTTAAATAATTCCATTGATGCTGGAAAAACAGCTCCTCCTATCTATTTTTGCATCTTCTTCTCCTTTGGGCTTTGAGATGTGCTATAGAAATATGGGTTTAGTTGCAATATCTAATCTCTTTTACTTTGCTTTAGATCAACTTAATTAATTTGCAGAATATGTGAGTGTTTTTTTAGTACAACAATGTGTGGAGGGGCTCGAAAACACGACCTTTTGGTCGAAGCTAAGCTTAAATTACCTGTTTGATATACGAGTTTGCTTATCTCAAATTATGTATTTGATAGTCTTATGAGCTTAAAGTACACAAGGGGTTAAAACATCGCAAGTACAAAGGGTTAAGTGCCATCTCTAGCGTTTCACTCATAAAAATCTCTTGAGGAAATATAATCCATAATAAAAAAATTTAATTTTGTTCTAGGGAGTTTGCAATAAAAAAAAGTAACAAAAAAAATATTTAGCAAATATTTGTGATCGTATTTTTAATGATGGTTAGCTTTTATAATTATAAACTCAACAACTAAATATACAAATAGTTCATTCATGGTATAATTTAACCCCGAGTTAGTTGGATTAAATTTCTTTTAAATTCAAGCTCCATTCATGGCCAAAGTTTAAAAAAATGTTAGGTCATATATAACGTTTTTTTAGCACAACAAATGAGGAGAGTAGGATCGAATTTCCTATTCTATGAATTTCCTACTCACAGAAAAGAGTAAAGTTATAATTTTAATGCAAACAAAAGAATATTAAAATTTTGAAGACTAGACTTCGCTGGGAAGCAAAGCACTAAACTTTTTAACACCATAACCATTAATCAGTCTCCGATTTTACCTTTCGTCTTCAAACGCAGCTCCACTTCACAGTCCACAGACCCAACGGAGAAAAAATGGCTCTGGAGATTCGGCAGAGGCGCCAGCAGGCCTCCGACCGTTCGCCGTCCACGGCGGCGGCTTCTTCCTACTCTAAATCCGGTAAGCCGGCCCGATCGAGCGCCAATGAAGAGGAAGACAAAGGAATTGGGTGGTTCTTCCCATTTTTCGCTCTGGGTCTCCTCCGCTACATGAGCGCCACATCCAACATCATACACGACTGCGACGAGGTTTTCAATTACTGGGAGCCCCTCCATTACCTTCTCTACAAATCTGGCTTTCAAACTTGGGAATACAGGTTTTGACTTTAAACTCTCTCTGAATCGTGCGACACAGTTATGCTTGTTCCATTAATGAGGAAAAAAAAGTTAAAGCAGTAGCGAAGAAATCATCAAAGGGTTAGGGAGTGAACCCTTTAGCTCTAGATATGGGTTATTCTAGTATAGTATTGTCCTGCATCCTTGTATTCTCGTCTTAACAATATTGATTTCTTCCTTACTGGCTTACCGAAGGATTAAAATGTTCCATTGTGCGTTCTTGGTTCCCCGTGGTTTGAGCTGGATTACACGTCATGGCAGTACCTTTCCCTTTTGATAGAAATCAAAGTAATGAATTACGATAAGAAATGATATGCTAGTCAAGGAATAAAGCAACAATTAGATGATTTGATGGAGTAAATGTGATCCTGGTGGCTTTGGAATGTAGTATCCTGAATGACTCTGTGAATTAGGTTACTCTCAACCACCCTGGATTGGCCCAGTGATTATAAATGGACTTGGAGGGAATTGGTTCAACTCATAATAGCCTCCTATCTAGAATTAGAGACTACAAGTTTCTTTGAATTCTAGATACTACAAGTCCCATCTAGAATTAGAGACTACAAGTTTCTTTGACAACCAAATGTAGTTAGAGTGGTCAGTTGTCCTGAGAGAGGTGACTCATATAAAAGTAAAAAATAAAGGAACTTTCATGATTAGAATATATTTTTTAATCCATATTAATTCCAATTTATATATTTTTGTTACCTTTCTTATTGTTCTTCAGAAAATGGGTCTTACTTTGATAGAGCTGCTACAAGAATCAAAGTTTGTATAACGGCAGGAATTAGGTTTGGAGTTAGTCATCAGACTTTAATGTACTAAGAAAAATGTTAAAACCAGCATTAAGTTTAGGTTGATTACCTTCAAAGAGATCATATCTAAGATATATGTTCACTGAAACTGTGCTCTCTCGCAGTTCCCAGTTCGCACTTCGGTCATATTTGTACATTGTTCTCCATGAATTAGTGGGCAAACCAGCAGCGTGGCTGTTTGCTGAAGAAAAAGTAAAGGGCCGTTCCTTTTCAGTTATTTTCTCAATAGCCTGCCTGTAGATCCAGATCTGTATATGATTTTAATCTCTCTTTAAATTGCAGGTGAGAGTATTCTTTGCTGTAAGACTTTTTCTTGGTCTTCTATCTGTTGTTACAGAAACTGTTCTTGTAGTGGCACTCTCTAGGAAGTTCGGGAAACGAATTGCCACTTATACGCTCGCAATGCTATGCTTAACCAGTGGTTGTTTCTTTGCTAGCACTAGTGAGTGGCCATCTTTTTCATGTGTCCCCCTACCTATATTATTAATTTTGTAACTTATACCTAAAATACCATTTTTTGTTCTTTTTTATTTATTGTGTTATTTATTTTCCAGGTTTCTTGCCTAGTTCGTTCTCCATGTATGCAGTATCTTTGTCATCTGGGTTATTTCTACTTGAGAAACCTGCTTCAGCAGTTGCTGTTGCTGCTGCTGGTGTAATTCTCGGCTGGCCATTTTCAATCCTGGTTTTCCTTCCAGTCACACTTTACTCTTTACGCAGAAAATTTGGAGCAGCCTTTCTTGCAGGGGCACTAACATCTATAGCTCTACTTGTATGTATTCTCAAGTAATTTCATTTATGATCTTTCGTTGAATGGAAACTTTTATTTGGAGCAAGAGGATATTAAATAAGTCAAATTTCTCGATTCAAAGACAAACATACAACTTCACCTTCTCCCTAGGATTCTCAATGTTTCAGCACCATTATATTGCAGTCCAACCAGTAAATACAGTATAGACCGAAATCTCGCACTTCATACTAGCTTCCTCTTAGTAGATTTGTTTTCATTATTTTTCTTGATAAGATACCAGCTAAAGATTCCTTGAAAGGTGTGGGGGATCCCCATTAAAGATTGAGATGAGGCTGGGTCAGGAATCCCATTCATTTTTCAAGGATGGACACTAGGACTGCATTCTCCTAACTCCCACTTCTCTGTCTCTTTAAGCAATGTGAAGGAAAGTGTGCTGCAGGCTGACTCGGTAGACGAAATTTTGACTGTGTTCAGCTGAAAAACCTTTTATAACACCCTGCTTACCTGGATCTTGCTTTCTCAAATGATTTTGGCCAAGTCAATCCAGGTCACCCTTCTTAAAGTTAACCTTGGCTGCCCTTGGACTCCAAATGGACCGTCTTTTTTCCTTTCCCGAGAGTATGAATTTGAGGTCAATGGCTGTCCAAAGAAAGGCTAGAAGAAAAAACCTCCTTGCAAGAAGAATCAAGAGGCAATAGAGACTTAGTGTACCTCAACCTGGTGTATATTGTCCCAAGAATTTTGTAACTATGGTGTTCTGATAATTTATATCGACTGGGATTGTTTTGTGATTCGCATTGGTTTCTGGATGATTTCTTTTGAATGAGTTAAATTTTTATTTTAATGGATTATATGTTAAACTGGGTGCTAAAAGCTCCTATGGTTTGGCTTGTAGGTCTTCTCGCTGCTTGTTGACTACTACTATTATAAAAGGTTGACATCATCTGTGCTAAATTTGCTGATATATAACGTCTTGGGAGGCGGTGAAAGCCATTTGTATGGGACAGAAGGACCATTGTTCTATCTGAGAAATGGATTTAACAACTTCAATGTTAGTTTCATTCTTGCATTACTTTTTCTGGTAATTTTACCAATTTCAAGGAAAAAGTATGTGCCAGACCTGCTCGTGGTCATTTCACCTGTTTATATCTGGCTCGGATTCATGTCATTGCAGCCACATAAAGAGGAAAGGTTCGTTAATTTCACAATTATGTTGTATATATTCTTAGAAATTGTTTTATTTGTCAGAAAAATGATGATTCTATTGAATAAACTTTCTGTACTCTCTCTTTTGTGTTAATATAATTGTTTGGTCTAAAGAAAAGAGACTTCACAACGCAAAAGTTCAATTTTTGAATGGCTGCTCTGTGAAGCTCTTTTAAAATGAAACATTCTCCATTTAAATTAGTGTGAAATTTGAAGGCTTTCGACTAGCATTCCTAATCAACATTCTTTGTTGAAGCGCTCTCTGATACTTGAAATTGCTGGTGAGACATATATTCGGCATCTTCGACTGATATTACACTGCTGCTTCAGGTTCCTTTATCCAATATATCCTCTTATTTGTGTCGCTGCTTCGGCTGTCATCGAGTGCTTTCCAGAATTTTTCCGTGAACGATACAATCCATATGATAATTCTGTATTTGTTATGGTGAGTATATATCATACCCATAATTTTTTAAATTCATTATGATAACTTCTTTCCTCTGTTGAGCTAGTTAATTGCCTCGCAGATAGCAAAAGTTCTTAGACCCATCGCCCTCGGCCTTATCCTTTGCGCATCCCATGCTCGTACATTTTCGTTGATTAACGGTTACTCCGCTCCTCTGGAGATTTACAAGGTCTTGGCTCACCATGATGATGTAGGAAGAGGTTAGATACATTATCTTGGTTACTTGAGCTTGAAAAGATGGTAATCTTTGTTGTTGCAGTTTCTTCTACAAGTTGCAGAAATTTGCAATAAATTTGGATATTGGATTGGAAGTTTGTTGTTGACAAGGGATTTTATATTATTACTGTATCTATAAGCACATCTCTTCTTCCAGGTTCCACAATTTGTGTTGGAAGTGAGTGGCACCGTTTTCCATCGTCGTTCTTCATCCCCGATTATGTGCAAGAAGTAAGATGGATCGACGATGGGTTCCGAGGTCTTCTTCCTTTTCCGTTTAACTCTACCTTGGGAGGGACTGCTGCTGCTCCACCATACTTCAACAACAAGAACAAGGCATCAGATGAGCAATATGTACTATCCTCTCACTTACTGAAAGTTTTTCACACTTAACTTCATGCATGTTGTTTTTTTATGCAAATGTAATGGATTTTACAGCTCCAAGATCTTGATGCGTGCACTTTCCTCGTTGAGCTTCAACTTGATAGGCCGTATGCTTCTCGTGGAAGTGATACGTCGAAGTGGGAGGTAAAAAAAACTCTGCTTTCTCTCATCGTGCTACTTCTAATGTTGGATTTTACTGAAGACTTTTTTACTTGCAGGCTGTTGCAGCTTGGCCTTACCTAGACAGGGAGTTCTCGCCACCATTTTATCGATCGTTTTTCATTCCGTACTTCTGGCAGTATAAGAATTCTTTTGGAATGTACAAGCTGCTTAGGAGAATACCAAAATAATAGACTTAGGAGGTTTGACATTTGGTCAGTCTGTAATCTTAGACAGAAGATTAGCTTATAAGAGAGTTTGCTGAGAATTTTCCATCACGATCTCCATCCACCCCACAGTAGAAAAACCTGGCAAGAATTTTTCTGGAGATTGAAGGTGGTAAATTTTGAATTTTTGTTAGTACAACATGTGGGGTGGGAATTCAAATTCACGAACTTTGAGTTCAAGTATCTTAACTAGTTTTCAAGTTGGGAATCGTTTACAAAACCGAGTGTTACCATGCTATAATTTTGACCTTGTTCTCCCACTTAAACGCTGCCTCCAACAACACTTCATTTTAAGCCTTTTATTTTTAGTATTTAATGTAGGCATAGAAAGTAGTTTTACTTTTAATTCAGTAAAAGTTCAACTTTTACAAAGGCAATTTTGTACTCTAAACAGTATAAATTTCATAAAAACTGTTTGGTTAAATGCTCTAAATTTTACATCTTGTAAACCTATCCTTTGAAGAAGTGTTGGAAAAAGATTTTAAACAAAGGTTTTGATGAGAGTTAAGAAAATGATAATATTAGAATTTGGACTAGATTTTTTTTTTTTTTATGGGTTAAAGTTGGAGAGTTTTAGGAAATTTATTTAATTGTTGGTTTTTAGGACTTTCTATTGTTGCAGATTCTAAGGTATATATAATATGTATATGTATTATTGATGAATATAACAAAAGTTAATTGAATTATTTTAGTTTGATAAGGGATGAGAGATTTGAACTTCTAGAGGTAAATAATATCTTGATCAAATAACTTATGTTTCATGTTGGTGTCTAAATATAATTTAAAATACTAATCAGTTAAAAGAAAAATAACATAGTGAGAGTTCCAACCAAAAGTAGTCTTCAATATTTCATTTGGAATAGTAAACTCTTAGAATTATTCTTAAATATGGACTATCAAATTGAGATTCAATTCTTGTATCATACAGTCCAAGTGATTACGAAGAACATGCATTGATTCATGATCAATGTAGTCTGAAATCTAAAGCATGGTCAATAAATACATGGTCCATGTCAGATCAAATCACTGATTTTCCCAGATTTTCAAAACTGGGAATTTAACTTAAATAATGTGAAGAAGACGGTTCATTATAATAACCCATGTTATTTAGCAGACAAATATCCACAGAGGTACAATACAAGCAATTTCTGTTCATGATGACATTGGCAATAGAAAACTTTGAGAGAGAGAGAGAGAGAGAGAGAGAGAGAGAGCACTTTTATTTGAATTACCTGCATTGAGGAGTCTGTGAAGAACTGACAGCTTAAACATTCAGTATATACCAGGAAGAAGACGATCATTCTAAACGTGTACACTATTGACCTGCAAACTCGAATCTAGGAAAGCCCTTCTTGCTGGAATTGGCCACCTGCCAAACCTTAAACTTGCAGGGGATTCTGGTTTTTTGCCACAGGTATTCTTTACATTGTCAAAAAGAATGGTGTAGTTAGAGCTGCTTATGTTCCTGAAATAACAGAGTTTATCATCATGATATCTGTAATCTTGCTGTGTGCTTCCTAACCCTCTTGTCACCAAGTGGTCCTTAACAACCATCAAGCCCTGCCCATTTTGAAGATTCTTCAGAGAGCTGATAAATGATCCAAATCCATCGGTCTTCTTCTCATTGAATCCTAATGTCAGGTTGGCTAAAGATTGGTAAGTTCCATTTCCTTCATCTTTGGTGTCTGAGTACAAGTATAGAGGAAAAGTTTTGAGAGATTTGAATGAATAAACATGAGAAGATTGCTGCTTGGCATAAACACTACTGTTGAATTGAATCTTCTGGTTCACCACTTGGCTGCTACCATTGCTTCCTATCTCCATTGAATTACTATAACTAAAATCTTGATTTGATTGAGTTGTGATGATCCCGCGAGAGGATTTCACCCATCCAATTGACGACACCGATCTGGTTACCTTTGTCGAGAATGTTCCGTCTGGACCTGTGAAGTTTGACTCCTCAGAGTTGACAAGGGGCGAGACGATGTGATTCAAAAGCTTTCCTTCAGTCTTTGCAGAGTTATCATCCAACCAAAGATGGAGATTTGCATTAATGTACCACACATTCAAGGCATGGGTAACCCTGAACCCAAAGTTATGAGCCTTTCCATCTAACAAATTGCCTAAAAATGGTGTGATTTCTATGTCATAAGATGGTAGGTTGAAGGACCCAATTCCAGTAATTGGCCTCCATAGAAGCGGATTCACACCTCCAGTATAAACCACAGTAAAGGGCCACACTGCTCCAACAATCTGACCATCAAGACTCACCAAAACCTCCCTAAAAGGCCCATTTCCAGGCGTATCAGTAAGATTGTTTGCAATAATATAATCATTTGGAAGATTTGAATACCAGAACTCATCATTCTCATGAAACGATACATAAACCTCCAACACAGCCCTGTAAACATTTTGGGGAATCTCAAATTCCTTCACCTGAACATCAGTAGAACTCTGAACCTCAAACCACAAGCCATCATTCAGTGGCAAACTCCTTGAAATGGGAACGATCAAATCAGCTCCAGAATCATAACCAGACGCTGATTTTTCCAAAAATCGTCCCCCATTATCACCAAAACTTTTCTCTTCAGGATAAAAGTGAATATGAATTCTCACATGGTATATCCCAGTATAAGTCTTATCTACGAGATTGCCTAAATAAACAGCCAGAGTTTGATTCTTGGAAAGCAACGAAGAATACCTCGTAATGTCCTTCCGAACAGTCCAAACGATCCCGGTGGCCCTCGGTTCCGCCGTGCAGCTGCGAAGAATCTCCACGCCGCCGAGCCATACGCCAAAGATTCGATCAAATTGCCGCCCTCTACAAGTCGCCATCCATTCGAGCACAATCTTGGAGAATTTAGTGAAGGAGCAGTGAGAGGGAGGGGTGTAATCCGCCAGAACGGGAGATTTTCCGTAAGTGTAGCCGAAATCATGTTGGAGAGCGAGAACGGAGCATGGTTTGGCCTTGGGCGTTTCAATGGGCTTCGTCACCTCGAAGAACAGTGTGGGCGGAGGAGTGTGACCGAGATCGGCGGTTGCTGTGAGCTCAGAGAGGAGATCTGGCCGGCGGAACCTGGTTTTGTGAAGATTGGCATCGGAGTAGAAGGGGAGGAGGAGGAGGAGGAGGGAAATGAAGAGTGGAGATGAAAGAGAAGAAGCCATGAACGGCGGCAGACTGTAGAAACAATGCTGAATTCATAAGATAAATTTCTGCTTTAACTTTGGAAGAAATTGAAGGCTCATTTTCAGTGACAGATAATTATTTTTTTTTAACGAGGTTTAAAATAAAATTTTAAGCGTGGAGATCTCAATTTTACAGAAATATCTATGAAATGTCTTTTTTTAGTACAACATTGGGAGTAGGGAATCAGAACTATTTAATATGTCAATTGCCGCTGAGCTATGCTCGCTTTGACAATATTATGTATAAATGGTTAGGAGGATAAGGTTCCTCCTCATTGTCGATGAGACAAATATTTTTCGTATGTATATATTAGAGACATCTTGTTGATATTTTTCATATTTTGTCTATTTTTTATATTACGATAGGAATGTCAATTTATCCCTTATGTCAATGTTGAACTCATAGATACATGGACCATGTTAATGGAAATGTAGACGTGTCAACAGATATTTAATACCATATTTTGATCCATCTACTTTATTCTTGGTCTGGATTTTGATCCACTTGGTACACTTTCAAAACTTTCATTCTTATTCATGTATTTTTTATTTTGTCAATTTCATCCTAGTTCTAGTACTTTTGAAGTGTTCGTTTTGATATATGTACTTATGAAAGATGAACATTTTGATCTCTTTTTTTTTTTTTATCACAATTTCAATACGACTCTACGTTTGATGATTTTTTTTTAAAATATAGTCATAATTTTATATCAAATATATATAATTTGTGTAAAAATTTTATAACTAATAGTCAAAATGATCATGCTAAAACCAATATTTTGAAAGTACAGAGACAGTAAATAAAAATTTAAAGTATGGAAACAGCAAATTTTGGAGGTATTTTTAACTCAATTACATTCACTTAAACATGAAAATGGGTCATTTTCATTTAAATACTAACAAACAATTTTTATAAATATCTTAATAAAAAAAAATTTCATTGAGTTTGAAACTGACTTTTAAAAATGGTAAATTCAAAACAAGCCAGGCTATGAAAAGGGTAAATTAGCATTTTATTAGACGTCTAATTGTGATTACCATATAACTTAAAATGTACCTTGCCTTTCAAAATTGGCAAATTCCAAGTTGGCTTAATTCTCCAATTTTACACCACTCACATTTACCAACTCCACCAACCCTACCCAAAAGAAAGAAAAAAAATATTTGCCTTACACTTGGCTTAATTCTCTGTCTTAGAAATAGTTAGAAACATGGTATTAAAGGTTCGACAACACCTCGACATTTTCATGTATCTATAGGTTTGATATCGAAATGACGGGTAAATCGACATTTTCATCTTATTACAAAAAAATCGACAAAATATGAAAAATATTAGCAATATGTCGTTAATATATACATAATATTAATATTAATCATTCTTCACTTATTTAAAAATAGATAAATGTTTATTTGTTAATTTAAATTTTTTTTACAATTTTTAAATTTTTTTTAACTTTTATAGGAATATAAAATCCATCGATATCAACATTTTATCAATATTTTTATTGATATTTCCATGAAATTGAAACCACAACATTTTTATCGACATTAACATTTAAAATCTTGGTTAAAAACAAATTACTTGTTTATTTTGAAATTGTAAAGACATAACTTTCAAAAAAATTACAAAACATGGCTACCCAAAACAACACTTTAATTGATAATAGAAACTATTATTTGAAATTGGTGAAATTAAAAGACATTTTCTAATCCAAATATTCACTTTTCATCGTGCAATGAAGTTTTTTTTAGCAACTAATTAATGATAGACACTAAGAAAATATTATTTTATTAAAAAGTCAAAACAATGTTTCTTAATTGAATCTATCATGCCAACCTATAACTATACACTTGTACACGACTAAAAATCATGGATTCAAATCTTCACACCTATAACTATACACTTGTACACGACTAAAAATCATGGATTCAAATCTTCACATTCACGTGTCTTATTAAAAAAAAATTATATTATATATTAATGATAATTATATGAATATAAATTTCTTACAGTTTGTTGAGTTATTGTAATTATTTGAAAATTGATGCAAATCATTATCTTTTTATTACTATTGGAATTCATAAGCTTGTAAAATAATGGATATCATATTTCATTTCTATTTAGCTAATTTCAGAATATCAATACTTTCATGTATTAAAAATTACATTTATATACAATAATTTCCTAAAGTTAATCACATTTTATCCTTCAAATTAGTAAACCTAAATTTATAAATCTGTTAATTCATAAATTTTATTCATTACAATAATTAGGAAGCAGTTCTTCAGCAAAGCAAAAAAGATACTATTTTTCATTATCATGATAGAATCATTCTGTTTCAATATTCAAGAAAGGGTTCGGTTTAGAATTGAAATTTTACCAGAGTCTCCATTTAATAAGAAAGCTTCCAATGGAACATAAGGCGAAGCCATGGAAGACTCAAACCTGGAGGAAGGTTGCAGAAGTTTGCTACCTTTAGCGCATTGAATCGTTCGGAGGCGACGCCCAGTTCTCATCTGCCATATCTGTCGGAGATCGCAGAAATAATTTTCAGTCAATTTGGAGAAGGCATGCTTAAATACAATCAAAATGTGCCAGAAAATTTCCAACTATAGGCCAGAGTTATGTATATGAAGCAAGGGGATAAGTGGAATCTACAAATTATGCAACTTCTATGCATTGTACTAGACTTGCTTTTGTTATGGCTCCGGTTCCCTTGAACAAGCCATTGTATACCGGAACATGAACTAATAATATTCGAGGCTATGCAAGATTATACCAAAGATCCTTCCTTTTTATTTTGGTTTCAGGCATATATTTCTTGGTTTCATGGTTTCACTTTCAGTAGACTCCTTGCTAGCATTGATTATATCTTACTATTATCTAATATTCATCAAGTTAGCGATGTTTTCTATGAATGTTATGATTTATTTTCAAACAGAGCAAAAATCATACTAATTTTCAGGTTAGATTCTGGTTTCTGACAGCGAGGAACGTGAAAAAGAGATCAAAGAACAGTTGAAAAGAAAATGTACTGAGTAAACCTTTCTGAGTGGAGAAGGGCGTACCTCAACTATCCCTTTTCTTGGTGCATGGATAGCCAAACACAAGCAATAATCACTTTTCGCTGGTTCATAATCTATGTAATTAGAACTTGATGAAGCAGTATCTCTATTGACCAGCATCTCCATGAACAGACAGTTGGCGTCTCGATATCCCTGTATTTGATTTTAAAAAGTTTTAGTAGAGAGAGGGACCAAACGTTGGAAGAGAGTTTACTTAAATCATTCAAGTTTTAGAGATGACCTTCCATAATCGCACCACAACAAGTGCTTGAGTGTCTAGGAGCAATATTCGACCCAGTGAATCTGTAATCGCTGCCAATGTACCGCTTGGGGACAACGTCAGTTTCTCACCCTTTCTTGGATGGTCCTTCAAGCATGTCAAAGGAGAGGCTGCAGCAATCATGATGCGAAGAAGTTCCTAAAAATTTTGTAAAAATTGTAGAATAGCTGATACATAGTTGTTAGAACACTCGAGCATCCTATCATAAAGTGGCTCAAGATCTAGATGTATCCTGATGTAATTATGAAACTTGCATAATGCATCTTTATTTTATCACATAACTAAATAAGAATTGCAAAGTGTACATCAAAATTCTCTATCTTTTATCCCCACAAATCACAGGACTTCTAAAAAAAAGATAGGACAAGAAAACCCTATTGAGCTGAGGTAATTAACATATACTGCACTTGGAGTAAAGATGAGATGAGAAGAAAGCAGAAAATTAAACTTTAGAACAATTATGTGTGATGAGCTTAATAAATAACTTATTAGATGCTTAAAGCTATATATGTCCACAATTACCAATCCAAAGCTTAATATCTTTCATGGCAAGCTTGCTTAACAAGAAAATTAAATGGGAGATCCAAGCAGAAAAGGACAAAAACATAGAATCCTAGGAGACAATAGTTAATATGCAGGCATATGCCTATGGAAGTACCAAAATTGAATTAAGACTACAATAAAGAATTCGCACCTCGAGCAAAAGCTTGAGCCTTCGCATCTGGCTTTTTAGATGTTGATGGTTCACTTCGCCAAATCAGTTTTGAAAATGAAGCTATCGTTGAAAATGTTGCAGGGACAACTTTTGATAAAATGGCTCCAACTAAAGACCTGCTCTTGTCTTCAGAAAGTCTTTTAAACATCATGAAAGCACACAAAGTATACAAAATGTCACAATGAATGATAGGCTTCAAGTATGATTATTTTATTGCAGGGAGAAAATTAATTTTAGTATACAAAATAACTTGAGAATCGTAAATAGAAAAAGACCAGACGTCCTAACCTGAATGCTGAAATAACAGTATCCTCTCCGATGGTGACTGCACAAAAATAACGTTGACTTGACTGCCCAACAATAAAAGCAGCTGAATTCAAATACCAGAATAATTTCAGAGGGCTTCCATCACATAAGCACTGTTCCTAGAAACAATCTCTAAGTTTTCCAATGAAATAAAGGAGCAACTTTTTTACCTGGAGTTCCATCAATGGAGGAGGCATGACGCCGGTGATTGCTGCATCTGCACAAGCACCATATTTGTTGACATTCCATACTTGATAAGCTACTTTTTCATAAGAATTTTCAGGATCCTCCGTATCTCGCCTGTTTAGTTTCTGATCCCAATACCGTGCATTTGATGATTGAGACCATCTTTTCAGTGTATTCTGTGGTCAAGCATGTAAGGCGTGTCACACTAGTCCAAACCAAATCAAGATCCATATAGAGGCAATATTTCAATAAGTTGAAGCACAGAGGTTATAAAGAAAATAACCTATCCAGAGGTAGGGATCACATTAATTACAGACAATTATCTCAACTACACATGATCAATAAAACAAAAGCCAAGAAAAAGCAGCACAATAATTAAAAGCTATATTTCTTTTCAAGATCAATTTTGTGTTTTCAGCACTTAGTAACTAAAGAATGGTAGTAAGAACCTGAATATCGGACCCTTCAATGCGCGCAATTACACCTGGCATAACAATGGAAACTTCCTCAAAAGAAGATTCATGGGATAAATCTCTCTTCATACCGCGAACTCTGATTTTTAGAATTCTTCCAGGATGGATAAGCTATAAAGTATAAACACACAAATAGGGCATAAGTTTCATCACCGTTAAAAACTGGAGCCGTATTTGTTATCATAAAAAATCCAGTTTCCAGCAATGATTTTTTTAATAAGTTTTCTAGCAATGACAAAACTAAAATTTGCAAGTTTGGAATCTAAAATAACACTGCTGCAAGTTTTGTCACAATATAAAATCACTGTATATCACATTTGGTTGAGCTAAGGTTTCACTTTGAAGAATACTTAGCTTAGTGTAAGACAAAGCTACTTCATTAATGGTCTCCAACAGTACTGTTGTCTTTTTTTCTTATCCCTTTATTTTTCTTTTCATAACATGAACACCTTACATACATGAATTCAAACACACTCCCCAATCGCAGGCAATGGAAGAAATTTTTGAAGTCTTGAAAACTCAAAACCCTGGTAGACTACCAACAAATCCAAAAATAAAGCCCCAACAATTAGTGTTAAACAAATAATTGCATCTTCCATTCTAACCTGTATCTACCCAGGAATCAGATTTTGATTTTTGTCATAGGTTCACAGAAAGAACTCAGTGGAATACA